AAAAAAAAAAAGTCATTCACTATGACTCATAAAAAAAAAGAAAGAAAGAAAAAGTAAAGAACAACAAACATCACCTGGAATGAGGACAGGGCATTGTTAAATTGTAGACTCCTGGCTCCTGGGCACTTAGAGATTCTAACTGGCAAGGCTGGGATGGGCCCAAAATTAATAAGTGACCACATGGTTCTGAAGCCAGCAGCCTAAAGACTACCGTTGCAGAACCTCGATCTCCTTGTTGCAGTCTAGGCAGCCCCTGGTTCTTTTTTTTTAATTTGAGACAGAGTTTCCCTCTTGTTGCCCAGGCTGGAGTGCAATGGCACGATCTTGGCTCACTGCAACCTATGCCTCCCGGGTTCAAGCAATTCTCCTGCCTCGCCTCCCAAGTTGCTGGGATTACAGGCATGTGCCACCATTTGGGGCTAATTTTGTATTTTTAGTAGAGACAGGGTTTCTCCATGTTGGCCAGGCTGGTCTTTAACTCCTGACCTCAGGTGATCCACCCTCCTGGGCCCCCCAAAGTGCTGGGATTACAGGCATGAGTCACCGTGCCCGGCCGTGCCTCTGGGCCAGGCCAGTGTTGGGAGGAGGCGCTACTGAGCTCCTACATTAGCAGGGGAGGCAGATGGAGAAATGTATGGTTGGCGTTGGAACAGAGGCAGCAGTGGGCAATAGAAGAAGTGAATAAATCCTTGGGAGGGGTCCCTAGAAGAAGTGATGTGTTTTGTTTTTGTTTTGTGTTAGAGACAGGATCTTGCTCTGTTACCCAGGCTGGAGTGCAGTGGCATGATCATAGCTCACTGCAGCCTCCATTTCTCGGACTCAAGCAATCCTCCCACCTCAGCCTCCCAAGTAGCTGGAACCGCAGGCGGGTGCCACCATGCCTGGCTAATTTTTGTATTTTTTGTAGAGAAGGGTTTCACCATGTTGCTCAGGCTGGTCTCAAACTCCTGGACTCAAGAGATCCACCCTGCCCGTTGATTATAGTGATTCCAGCCATGAGCCACCGCGCGGGGCCAATGCTTCATCCTCTTGTAAACGTCTGTTACCTCTCTGTTCCCCTATCCAGTAGACTGTGAGCCCCTTAGGGACACGAATTAAGGATGGGGCACAGAGCAGGCTCTCCAAACGTTTGTTGAATTAGTGAGGGAATCAATTAGTTCGAGCAGACGCTTTACTTGGCCATTGGAGATTTTGGCTAAGATGGGACTTGCAGGAAAGCCCCAGGCTAATTAATATCTAGCCGGACGTCCCTCCTCATTTCCTGGTACCGCTCTTCAGCTGGGGCTTTGGGTGAGCGGGATAGGGCTGGGTACAGGGTTAAGATAATGTCATGGGTGTGGTAAGTTGAGGATAGGAGAGGTGGCTGATGGCTGGGCTGTGGAACTGATGATCCCGAAAAGAAGAGTGGGCAGTTTCTGGAGATGTGAGCTGAGGCTGCGGGGGCTACAGGTTGAGGGTCACGTGCAGAACAGAGGCTCTGTCCTGAACCTGCACTATAGAAAGGTCAGTGGGATGCAGGAGCGTCGGGGCGGGGCCCATGTTCCAGTGTCCCCACGCCTCCGGCAGGGGACGCCCGGGCTGGGGGCGGGGAGTCCGACCGCGCCTGGCACTATCCGGACAAAGCCTGCGCGCGCCCCGCCCCGCCATTGGCCGCGCCGCCCCGCGCCGCCGCCCCATCCCGCCCCTCGCCGCCGGTCCGGCGCGCTACAGCCAATAGGAGCCGCCGCCGTCGACTTCGTCACGGCCCGTGCCGCCAATCGTGGCGGCGCTTGGCGGCTCGTGGCTCTTTCGCGGCAAAAAGGATTTGGCGCGTAAAAGTGGCCGGGACTTTGCAGGCAGCGGCGGCCGGGGGCGGAGCGGGATCGAGCCCTTGCCGGGGCCTGCCGCTATGGGCCCGCGCCGCCGCCGCCGCCTGTCACCCGGGCCGCGCGGGCCGTGAGCGCCATGGCCTTGGCCGGGGCCCCTGCGGGCGGCCCATGCGCGCCGGCGCTGGAGGCCCTCCTCGGGGCCGGCGCGCTGCGGCTGCTCGACTCCTCGCAGATCGTCATCATCTCCGCCGCACAGGACGCCAGCGCCCCGCCGGCCCCAGCTGGCCCCGCGGCGGCCGCCGCCGGCCCGTGCGACCCCGACCTGCTGCTCTTCGCCACTCCGCAGGCGCCCCGGCCCACACCCAGCGCGCCGCGCCCCGCGCTCGGCCGCCCGCCGGTACGGACCCCGGGGACGCCGCGCCGACAGCGCTGCCTGTACCCCCTGACCAGACCCGGGCGGGTGCTGTGTTTGGCCTGGAGGCGGCAGGGGGCGGGGGAGGGGTGGACTGAGGCGCCCAGGCTGGGCGGTGCAGAGCCTGGGTTGTGCCTCCAGGCTCCGCCCTGGGGTGCGGGGTGACCTCGGGCCGGTCCCTGTTTGCTCCTCTCCTCTGGGCCTCAGCTTCCTCACTGGAGCCTCCCCAGCGTCGGACTCAATGATAATAATGGCCCACGTGTATTCAACTGGCGTTTATTGCACGCCAGGCCTTTGGCCGACTTCAAGCCAGCTAAAACTCACAACCCCGCTGTGAGCCGTGTTGTCACTGTGCCCATCTGACGGAGGAGGACTGAGGCCCAGAGAGGGAAAGTGACTTGCACCTGGTCACACGGCTGCAGGTGGCAGGGCTGGGATTTGAACTGCGGCCTGCTGGCTTCAGATCAGAATTTGCATCTCGGTAGTGAGCACAGCTGCTACGGGAAGTGAAGGCGGGGCGGAGGAAGGTCCTGGGGCTTAACCGTTGGTGAGCCACTGAGGAGACCCTCCTTCCTGCCTCGATGCCGACTGCCAGGTGCCGGCCAGGCCGGCCAGGCCTCTGGGGACAGCCCTCCTGGCTGGGAGGCCTTCTCTGCAGGGGCGGGGCAGCTGGACCAGCTGCTGATCTCCTCCCTCTGCCTGTCCTTCCATCTGCCACCCTCCACCCTCCCAGGCCCTGGTTGCCATGGAACCTCATTAATCAGGCAGACAGACCCCTGAGCCTCTGTGGAAGGACTAGGTGGGCTGGGCCTCTGGGAGCTGGAGAGGAGGTCCCCAGTGCCAGGAGAGAAAATGTCCCAGGGAGATCCTTCAATAAAGCCGTCCCGGAGTGCTGAGCTCAAGACCAGTTCAGACTGGGGGTGCCCAGAGAGGTGGCTGAATTACAGTGGGAGAAGGGATTGGAGGCGTAGAAGCCTGGAGCTGGGACCTGTGGGCTGCAGGACAGGGTGTGGAGACCAGTTTGACTGGCGCAGCCTATGGGTGAAGGTGGGGCTCTCATGTGCAGGTGGGGGCTGGCCAAGCAGGATGGGGTCTCAGCAGGGAGCTTGGAGCAAGTGGGAGGGGTGAGGCAGGGCTTAGGACAAGGAGGTAGAAGCTGCCTAACTGCTGATGGGGGTGTGGGTAGCAGCTGGTCCCTGAGGCATCTAAAGGGGCTCCCCCAACCCCCTTGGCCTCATGCCCAGTGCTGCCTTCCGGAATCACCACGATGCTAATAATAATAACAATAGCAGCCACCATTGTTTAGAGGATGTCTTATGTGCCAGGCTCTGCCAAGGGCTTTACCTAATTAACTCATTTAACCCCATCAGCAGCAATCCCTTTTTACAGATTGGGAAGCTGAGGCCTGGAAATACTAGAATCTTCCCCTGTCTTTCTCATATTGAGTGGGGAGTGGAGTCTGCATTTCCTGTGAGGTTGACCTCTGGGATGCATTGCTTTCTAGGGATGCTGATAGAGGCTGAAGAAAGGGTAGGAAGGGCTTTTGGGGGCCCTTCCTCTTAATGAGTGTGTGGGAGGGGCTATACCAGGGGTGGGCCAAGTGGCTTGTCTCTTGTACTCCGAGGGCTTGTCCCTGTGGGTAGTGCTTGGGACCTGGGCAAGCATCCTCCATTCAGCTGTGTGACAAGCATATAGCAGGCTTGGGTCTGTGGAAATCTGACAGAACCTGAGGGTCTTGTCCTCAAGGAACTGAACAGGATTATGGGTTCTAGGATTGAAAGGAGAGACAGGGCAAAGAAAAATGCCCTCCGCCCCACCTGTCAGGGGCAGGTTCATTGGCCCGGGCATTCCATTCATTCAACAGTTGTTGAGCTAGTGAATGCCCAGGAGGCACTAGGCTCAGAGACAAGGGACCCTGCCCTCAGAGTCCTTCAGGGCCAGGAGGTGTTTTCTGTATTGAAGGGGCAGGAGACTGGCCATTCTGGAGCTGAAGTCCAGAAGATCCACAGGTTCGGCTTTTGGCCTCCCTGCACTGGCATTTGTCTGGCACAGTCCTTGAAATAAGCTACACGCTTAGCTTCTGTACCAGCAGGCATTCGTTGAACACCTGTGTACAAGGCTCTGTGCAGTTCGGCCATTTCTCTTGGTCCTGCCTGTCCACTTCCACAAACTCAAATATTTTAAACATAAGGCCGGGCGCGGTGGCTCACGACTGTAATCCCAGCACTTTGGGAGGCCGAGGCGGGTGGATCACGAGGTCAAGAGATCGAGACCATCCTGGTCAACACGGTGAAACCCCATCTCTACTAAAAATACAAAAAATTAGCTGGGCATGGTGGCACGTGCCTGTAATCCCAGCTACTCAGGAGGCTGAGGCAGGAGAATTGCCTGAACCCAGGAGGCGGAGGTTGTGGTGAGCCGAGATCGCGCCATTGCACTCCAGCCTGGGTAACAAGAGCGAAACTCTGTCTCAAAAAATAAATAAATAAATAAACATAATACATATTTACTGTAGAAAACTTAACTGTTCTTTTTTTTTTGGAGACAGAGTCTCATTCTGTTACGCAGGCTGGAGTACAGTGGTGTGATCAGGGCTCACTGCAACTTCCACCTCTGGGGTTCAAGATATTCTGTGCCTTAGCCTCCCAAGTAGGTGGGATTGCAGGCAGGTATCACCATGCCCAGCTAATTTTTGTATTTTTAGTAAAGACAGGGTCTTGCTTGCTATGTTGCCTAGGCTGGTCTTGAACTCTTGAGCTCAGGCAATCTGACTGTCTCAGCCCCTCAGAGTGCTGGGATTACAGGTGTGTGCCATCACGCCCAACTGAAAACTTAACTTTTTTTTTGAAGCAGAGTCTTGCTCTGTCGCCCAGGCTGGAGTGCAGTGGCATGATCTCCGCTCACGGCAACCTCCACCTCCCAGGTTCAAGTGATTCTCCTGTCTCAGCCTCCCCAGTAGCTGCGATTACAAGTGCATGCCACCATGCGGCTAATTTTTGTATTTTGGGTAGAGACGAGGTTTCACCATGTTGCCAGGCTGGTCTTGAACTCCTGAACTCAAGTGATTGGCCGGCCTTGGCCTCCCAAAGTGTTGGGGTTTCAGGTGTGCGCCACTGCACCAGGCCTAAAATTTAGCTCTTAAGAAACTAGAAAGTTGATGGCAGGATCCCAGCCCTATTCATTTTTTTTTTCCTTCTAAGGCTATTTTTGTTTGTGGTGGTTGTGACAGTTTTTGTTTTTTAAAGTTTTAAAAATTGTAGTTTTTCCTGTGTCATTCATACTGTTCAGATATGGCACCAGTCTCCCACGGTCTTCCCAGAGGCTGACCCAAAATGTATTCTATAATCATAGAAACTGAATCAGAAAAGTTTCATGAGCTTTTTAATCCAAAAGGGATCATATAAATATATTGCCCTGTAACACTGTTTTGCTTGTCTGTATGTGTGATGGGATTCTTGTCAACCTGCCTCGGTCCTTGACAGCTGCCTGGTGTTCTAGGGGCTAAACAACCCGCAGTTTTCATGACCCTCTTCGTGGTTGCGTATCTGAGTCATCCAGATTTTTTCACCAGTGAATGTCTTCATCCCCCTGTGCCAGTGTTTATCTAGGGAGAAGTGGCAGAAATGGCATCCACTTTAGCCTTTGTTTTGGGGCGTGGCACTGACCTGCCTTCAGGGGTGGACAAGGACAGGGATCCCAGGGAGAAGGCAAGGAGCAGATGGCAGGAGCTTGCTAGGGTCCGGGCCCCAGGGAGGTCCATGGAGAGGGGGTACATTCTGGCTGGGCTCTGGGGAGGGGGGCCCATAGTAGGTATGAGTGTGGGCTCTGTACCAGCCCGCTAGAGTGCAAGTCCTGACTCCACCTTTCACTGTGTGGCCTCTCTGAGGTGGAGGCCATCATAGCACCTGCCAAAAGGTGGCTGGAGGGTTCCAAGGGAAGCAGTTGAGTCCACAGTGCCCAGAGCACAGTCACTCTTCTTTCCCCTTGGCGCCTTTGAAAGTCAGTGAATGTGCACAAGAGGGAGTGGTTCATCAGCATGGGAAGGTTTCATTCAGTAAACATTTGTTAATGCCAGGCTCCATGGCAGATGCTGTGGATGCAGTGATTGTTTAGACCCATTACCCGCCTCTGAGGGTGAGACAGATACATCTGCAGAAATGTGTAGGGAGAGACAGAATGTGGCAAAAGGTCGGGTTTGAGGCAGTTCAGAGGCAGAAGAGGTGACATCATCTAGGTGATGGGGAAGGTTTCTGCCCACAGAGGTGGAGGCAGCAGGTGTGAAATGGGGAGGGTTGGAGGGATACAAGGGTAGTATAGATGTCTGGAAAAACATGACTCAAGTTCCCATGGAGAAGCAGTGGCAGATGAGAGTCTGAAGGCCATGGGGAGCTGAAGGAAGGCCTTAAGCAGGGGCGGCAACATAAGATTTAGAGGAGGCAGGGAGACCAGTGTGGAGACTGCTCAACAGCCCACAGGGGAGGCGGCAGTCGCCCTGGTGATGAGATGTTCTTGGCAGCTGCATGTTAAGAGGGCGACAGGTGGGGCTGGAATATGACTCTAGCTCAGGAAACCTGTGGATGGTGGAGGGGAAGGTCAGTCTGGTTTTGGTCTGGGTGCTTCTGAGCAGTCTGTGGGACCTCCAGGACAGTCTTGATCCTGGAGTGTCTGAACTAAGCCAGAGTGCTTAGAGCTTGGGTTCTTCCTCAAACCGTCTTAGGTACAAATCCTGACTCTACCACTTCCCGGGCCTCCCTGGGCTTTAGTTGCCTTATCTGGAAAAGGGCCATTATTATACTGCCAGTCCATTGAATGGAATGAACTAATGTATGCAAGGAACCTGATGAGTACCAGCTGCTACCATGTGTATAAATTAGTCAAAAACCAGAGGGAAGGTGACTTGCCCAAGGGACTTATGTAGTCAGTGGCTTAGCTGGGCACAGTGGCTCATGCCTGTAGTCGTAGCATTGACTATGGTGAAGGCTGAGGTGGGAGAATTTTTGAGCCCAGGAGTTTGAGGCCAGTCTGGGCAACGTAGGAAGACCCTATCTCTACAAAAAATACAAACATTAGCTGGTCATGGCAGCGTGCCCCTGTGGTCCCAGCTACTTGGAAGGCTGAGGTGGGAGGATTGCTTGAGCTCAGGATGTTTGGCTGCAGTGGGTCATGATCGCAACACTGCACTCCAGCATGGGCAACAAACTGAGACCCTGTCTAAAAAAAAAAAGTAGTGGCATAAAACAAAAAACCTTTATTATATAGTTTTTATGGGTCAGGAATTAAGGGAAGACTTAGCTAGATGCTCTGGCTTGGGGTCTCTTTGGAGATTCAGTCAGTGTTTGGGTCCTGGCTGCTAACAGAAGGCGTGACTCAGTGTTGCTATTGGGAGGAGCCACAGTTTCTTGCCCATCATTAGGGCTACTTGAGTGTCCATATGACATGGCAGAGTGAGTGACCCAATACAGAGCAAGGAGGAAGCCCCAGTTCCTCTGACTCAGTCTCAAAAGTGACATGCCATCTCTGGCTCATAAGGGAAGAATTATTAGGCTTCATCTGTTGAAGGAGAAGGATCAAAAAGTTTGCAAATGTGTTTTAAATCCACCATGAGACCCCAGAGAAGTAGTGATGGAGCTGGGACTTGAGCTCAGGTCTTCTGCCTTCTGCGGTTGAGTGTCCTGTGTGGAAGGACTGTGACTCTCAGGCTGTGTCCCCTCTGATCTCCCTCAGTCACACAGTCAGGCATCCTGCTAGAGAAATTGAGGTAGGGGTAACCCAGAGGCGCCCAGCCCTCAGCCAGGTCTCTTCTGGCGTCACTCCTGGTTACTGGGCATCCTCCCATTGTTTTCACTACAGGTGAAGCGGAGGCTGGACCTGGAAACTGACCATCAGTACCTGGCTGAAAGCAGTGGGCCAGCTCGGGGCAGAGGCCGCCATCAAGGAAAAGGTACCCATGGAGCTTGGGCTGGGCAGGCCCCCTGTGACCAGGCCCAGATTGGGGGTGTGAACAAACATGCTTTCAGGCTAACGTCTGGCTCGTTGGGCTTGAGCCAGGCCTCTGGGGACCCTGATGGGCAGCTGCAGTGGCTGCCTGGCTTGGTTTACCCCAGCCCTGAGGGGTGAGGAGTTCCCCAGTCAGAATAAGAATGCTGTGGTTTGGTCTCGCCAAGGGGTCTGGCTGTCCTTCAGCCCCCATCATCCTGTCGCCCTGCACTGCCACAGAGGCAGACCTGGCTGGAGGTGGGGTGGATGCTGGAAGGCCGTCTTGCTTGACCACACCCTTACAGGTGTGAAATCCCCCGGGGAGAAGTCACGCTATGAGACCTCACTGAATCTGACCACCAAGCGCTTCCTGGAGCTGCTGAGCCGCTCTGCTGACGGTGTTGTTGACCTGAACTGGGCTGCCGAGGTGCTCAAAGTGCAGAAGCGGCGCATCTATGACATCACCAATGTCCTCGAGGGCATCCAGCTCATTGCCAAGAAGTCCAAGAACCACATCCAGTGGCTGTAGGTACCGGCCACACCGGAGGGCAGGCACATCTGCCCATGTCAGCCTGGAGGAGCTGTAGCAGTACCCACTGTGGGCTGCCTGCGTCCACATGTTACAGATGGGGAAACGGGCTCAGGGAGGAGAGGTAGCTTCCCTGAGACGATAGATGCTAAAAAGCACACAAATCTTACATACCCAGCTCAGTTACAGCTTTATTTATTTATTTATTTAATTTTTTAAGATGGAGTTTCACTCTGTCACCCAGGCTAGAGTGCAGTGGCATCATCTCAGCTCACTGCAACCACCACCTCCCAGGTTCAAGTGATTCTCCTGCCTCAGCCTCCCAAGTAGCTGGAGTTATAGGCGCCTACCACTACTCCTGGCTAATTTTTGAATTTTTAGTAGAGACAGGGTTTCACCATGTTGGCCAGGCTGGTCTCGAACTCCTGATCTCAGATAATCTGCCTGCCTCGGCCTCCCAAAGTCCTGGGATTACAGGTGTGAGCCACTGTGCCTGGCACAGCTTTACATATTTATTCATCCGGGTTACTGCCATTCAGGTCAAGATAGAAGCATTTCCAACACCCCAGAAGGTTCTCTTGTGCCCCTTTCCAGTCACTGCCTACCCCTTACACCACCAGGTGACCACTCTTCTTGCGTCTCATGCCCTCGGTGAGATTTGTCTGGCACAGATGTTTTCTTTTTGTACTTGTTTTATTTTCCCCTTCTCGCCTTCGCCCCAGTCATCCTGCTACCCTCTCTTTGATACACCTGCCTTTTCATTTTTTGGTAGATTGTTCCATTCTACATCTTTTGTTTTTTGTGGGGGATGGGGAGCAGTTTGAGACAGGGTATTGCTCTGTCACCCAGGCTGGAGTCTGGAGGCACAAATACAGCTCACTGCAGCCTCAACCTCCTGGGCTCAAGCCTTGTACCTGTAGCTAGGACTACAAGTACATGCCACCATGCCTGGCTAATTTCTTTAATTTTATGTAGAGGTGGGGTCTCACAGTATTGCCCAGGCTGGTTTAAACTCCTGAGGCTCAAGCAGTCCATCCTCTGACCTCAGCTTCCCAAAGTGCTGGGATTATAGGTATGAGCCACCAAGCCCAGCCCCCCCTCCCTTTTTTTTTTTAATTTGACAGCATGTCTTGGAAATGTTTGTATGTATGTGTGTAAAGCATGCTTATCCTTTTATACAACTCTAATGTTCCGTGGCATGTCGGTGCCGTCATTTATTTATCCTGCCCTGGTTGAGGGACATGTAGGTGTTTATAAATATTCAGGCCAGACTTCAAGCCCATGACACACTGATGTGGATCCCAGCTGAGAAGCCAGACCCAGAGAGAAGTAAGGGCTTGCCTGGGCCACGCAGAACAGAGGCAGCAGCAGACTGGGTCCTGAGGGCCAGAGGGGCCAGACGATGCTAAACCCTACCCTTCCTGGTGTCTCCCCACAGGGGCAGCCACACCACAGTGGGTGTCGGTGGGCGGCTTGAGGGGCTGACCCAGGACCTCCGGCAGCTGCAGGAGAGCGAGCAGCAGCTGGACCACCTGATGAATATCTGTACTACGCAGCTGCGCCTGCTCTCCGAGGACACTGACAGCCAGCGATATCCTTGGACTGGCCAGAGGGTGTGGAAGGCAGGCTTAGCAGGCAGGGGTCCCACCCAAGTGGGACTAGAGAGGCTACCCTGGGCCCTGGATTCAGGAGAGAACGCTGGTTTTGTTTGCAAGTCCTGGCTCAGCATTTTCTCACTGTATGACACTGGATAAATTGCTTAACCTCTCCGGGCCTCAGCTTTATCTATAAAAGGAGGATAATAACGTCCAATTCTGAAATTGTACAGATTAAAGCAGAAAAGTGGCTAGGTGCGGTGGCTCATGCCTGTAATCCTGGTGTTTCAGGAGGCTGAGGTGGGAGGATCACTTGAGCCCAGGAGTTGGAGGCTGCAGTGAGCTCTGGTTGAGCTACAGCACTCCAGCCTGGGTGACATAGTGAGACCCTGCTTCTAAAAACTAAATAATAAATTCCCAGCACCAGGCCTGGAGTTGTGTTGAGCATTTTACATGGAATTGTTCCTGGTAGCCATCATCATTACTTTGGGATTCAGTGGGTAGAATAGTTCCATTGTACAGATGTGGAACTTGAAACTTGGGAATGAGGTGGGTTTTGAGCGGATGGGAGTTGAGAGGACAGGAGTGACTAGGCAGGTGTGAGCCCTGCCTTGTGCAGGTCCTTTGTGAGTTGTTGGAGTGAGTGACCCCCAGAAGTCAAAGTTCCTGTGGTCCTTGACTCTGCCAACCCTGGCCTATGTGACGTGTCAGGATCTTCGTAGCATTGCAGACCCTGCAGAGCAGATGGTTATGGTGATCAAGGCTCCTCCCGAGACCCAGCTCCAAGCCGTGGACTCTTCGGAGGTGAGAACTGGAAATTCTAGGCCCGGCTGGGCTGGGCTGGGCTGGGGGTCACCTAGGCCTCAGTTTACCCTGCCTGCTGCTTCCACCCAGACATTTCAGATCTCTCTTAAGAGCAAACAAGGCCCCATCGATGTTTTCCTGTGCCCTGAGGAGACTGTGGGTGGGATCAGCCCTGGGAAGACCCTGTCCCCGTCCCAGGAGGCTACTTCTGTGGAGGAGAACAGGGCCACTGACTCTGCCACCATAGTGCCGCCACCATCATCTCCCTCCTCATCCTTCGCCACAGATCCCAGCCAGTCTCTACTTGGCCTGGAGCAAGGTGGGTGATGGGTAGGTGGGTGGGGTGGGGCAGGGCCACTCTTCTGGGGGGCGGGCAGGCACGACAACCCCTGCCTTCCTCCCTGCTGGGGCATCCCCGGCCTGTGATGCTCCCCATCTCCCCAGAACCGCTGTTGTCCCGGATGGGCAGCCTGCAGGCTCCCATGGACGAGGACCGCCTGTCCCCGCTGGTGGCAGCCGACTCGCTCCTGGAGCATGTGCGGGAGGACTTCTCCGGCCTTCTCCCTGAGGAGTTCATCAGCCTTTCCCCACCCCATGAGGGCCTTGACTACCACTTCGGCCTCGAGGAGGGCGAGGGCATCAGAGACCTCTTCGACTGTGACTTTGGGGACTTCACCCCCCTCGATTTCTGATGGGGCTTGGAGGGACCAGGGTTTCCAGAGATGCTGACTGTGTCTCTGCAGCCCTGGAGCCCCCTGTCCCTGACCATCCTCCCAGCCTGATTGGAAACATTTAATTTATACCCCTCTCTCCTGTCTCCAGTAGCTTCTAGCTCTGGGTTCTGGCTACCGCTAGGAGGCTGAGCAAGCCAGGAAGGGAAGGAGTCTGTTTGTGGTGTGTATGTGCATGCAGCCTACACCCACACGTGTGTACCTGGGGTGAATGTGATGTGTGAGCATGTGTGTGTGCATGTACCGGGGAATGAAGGTGAATATACACCTCTGTGTGTGCACTGCAGACACGCCCCAGTGTGTCCACATGTGTGTGCATGAGTCCATGTGTGCGCGTGGGGGGCTCTAACTGCACTTTCGGCCCTTTTGCTCTGGGGGGTCCCACAAGGCCCAGCCTAGTGCCTGCTCCCAGAATCCGGTGCTCTGACCAGGCCAGGTGGGGAAGCTTTGGCTGGCTGGGCTTGTAGGACGGTGAGAGCACTTCTGTCTTAAAGGTTTTTTCTGATTGAAGCTTTAATGGAGCGTTATTTATTTATCGAGGCCTCTTTGGCGAGCCTGGGGAATCAGCAAAGGGGAGGAGGGGTGTGGGGTTAATACCCCGGCTCTCTCTACCCTTGAGCAAGGGCAGGGGTCCCTGAGCTGTTCTGCCCCACACTGAAGGAGCTGAGGCCTGGGTGATTTATTTATTGGGAAAGTGAGGGAGGGAGGGAGACTGACTGACAGCCATGGGTGGATGGATGGTGGGGTGGGCCCTCTCCAGGGGGCCAGTTCAGGGCCCCAGCTGCCCCCCAGGATGGATTTGAGACGGGAGAGGTGAGTGGGGGACCTTCACTGATGTAGTGGGCAGGAGGGGTGGTGACGGCCTCCCCCAGCCCAGACTTGTGGTCCCTCCTGTGGTGTCTGTAGCGCCTGCCTCCCCACTGCTCTGCCCCACCCTCCAATCTGCACTTTGATTTGCTTCCTAACAGCTGTTCCCTCCTGCTTTGGTTTTAATAAATATTTTGATGACGTTTGGGCTGGGTTTTGGGACTCTGTTGGGAACAGTTCGGGGCGGGAAAGGCCAAGGATGCTGGGGAAATGCCCATTCTCCACTTCCCTTCTCCCAGATTTGATTTGAGCCTTATAATTCTAAGAAAGGTCAGCTTCATCGCTATTTTGGTCCTAACTCAAAAGCCGATCCAGTAAAGGTTTTTGTTATAGAAAGCCAAGAATGCTACTCAGTGCTGCCAGAAGTGCAGAGTAATGAGTGACCTCTCCTCCCCAGCCCCAGAGGCCACTGTGCTGTTTGCTGTCTTCCTTCCAGACGTTTCTGGGCATTAGTAAACATGCAACAAATACCATGCACTGGTTTTGTGTCAGGTATTTAACATTTCTGGGGACATAGGTGTTACCTCCCTTCATGGTGCTCTCAGGGTCCAAAGGAGATTTGCACAAATGAGAAAATCAGGAAAGGCTTCCTGGAAAGGGTGGTGCTTGAGCTGAGCGTTGTAAAGTAGGAGTTAACCAGAGTAAGAAAACACCAAGCACACCCAGCAGAGAACACGATGGGCAAAGGCCCTGAGCAGGAGGGAGCGGGACAAGACGGAGAGAAAGCAGAGTGGCTGCGGTCCTGAGGTGAGGGTCAGAGTGGCGCTGGAGCTAGGCGTTCAATCTTGAGCTTTACTCAGGGGCCAAGGAGTCGCTAGTGACACCTCCTCTCGCATCTTAAAAGCTCCCCCTGGCTGCTGTGTGGAGAACGAGTTGAAGGGAGGGCCAGAGTCGCCGAGGAGAGGGGAAAGGACCGCGCGGAGTGCCAGAGGGGGCCGGCGTTGGGATGCCCGGGAGTTGGCCACACGGATCTGTGGGCTTCCTCTGAGCCAGCCTCCGTTGTAAACACTTGACATTGAATGAGTCCCAAGAATCCCATAGGGTGACTGCCAGTACCATTTTTGCAGATGAGTATAGACTCCCCGAGAGGTGAAGTCCTGGTGGGTTTTACCCACGCGTGTCACCCTGACTCTTCGGCACTGACTTGGTCACTCTTCCCCTCCGGGTGGGCGCGTAGCCCCTTGATTCTGCTCTCGGTCGCCGCGGGGCCCGAGCCCTCGGGCACCTCCCACTCGCCGTGGCCGCTGAAGCGCAGAGGCCCGCGGGGCTGGAGTTGGACCTTGCGGCGAGAGAACCCGGCGTCCGCGGGGGCGGGGCGGGGGCGGGGCCTCAGCCCCTGCGTCGGCGCCGGCGCGGGCGCCAAGAGGCGGCCCCCTGCCCCACCGAGTCCGCGGCGGAGTCCAGGGCCAGGAGCGACCGCAGCTTAGCCCCAGCGAGCGGGCGGCGGCGCCATGGCGTGCGCGGGGCTGCTCACCGTGTGCCTGCTCCGGCCGCCCGCGCCCCAGCCCCAGCCCCAGCCCCAGCCCCTGCGGCGCCCCCAGCTCGCACCCGACGCGGAGCCCGCCGGACACGCGCTCTTCCAGGACGTGAGTGGGCGCGGGCTCTGCTCGCGGTGTCTCCAGCCCGAGGTTCTGTCAGTCTCCCCCTCTGGGGCTGTTCGGGCCCCTCTGCTGTCTCTGGGTCTCTGCGTCTCTGCCCCTGATGTCTCTGTCTCTGGACCCCTCTGCCTTTGTGTCCCCTGTTGTCTCTCTCTGTCTCTCCATGTCTCCCCTTGTCCCTGCTCCAGTGTCGCTGCCCTTGCTGCCCCCTAAACCCTGCAGCTCACCCCATCTGTGTATCTAGTGTTGGGGGGGGCGCTGTCGGCAGTCACAGCAGCGGTACCCCACTCTGTAGCAGCCCCAGGCTGGGCTGACTGGGGAAGGGGAGGCTGGAAGCACGAGGGGCCCCTCCCTCCTGACTCTAGTGCCACCCCTCCTCCCCGAGTCCCTCAGGCCCCACTCCAGGGCAGCAGAGTTCTACAGATGGTAAGGGCTGCTCAGAGTCACCCTTCCATGAAGTCATGGGTGGACTTGTAGCCCCCATGGGCACCAGTCAGGGCCCTGAGCCCTTTCTCCACCATTTACCCCTGTGCTTGGCTCTGTCCTGGCCCCCTCATGCCCCAACTCCAGAGGGGGGCAAGGCTATCTCCCGCCCCCTCCCCACTTCCCCTAGTGACTCAGCACCTTGACCACAGCCCTGGCTGGAAGGGACTGGACCCTCCCTCTTCCCAGGTAGGAAAACCAAGGCCTGAGGGGGTATGTCCCAGGTCAGTCATGGAGGTAGGAGTGCAATAGGGTGACCCCAGGTATCTCCATTCCCAGCCTAGCACCCCTCCCTGCACCCAGTATCTACATCTACCCCACCTGGGCCTCCCTGGCTTGCTGTGTACCCCTCAGCCTGGGGCAGACCTTCTCTGAGTTAGGCTAGAGGTTAGAGTCTTTCCTGAGCCTGCTGACCCTTAGAAAACAGGACCCTGGAGGGGATTGGCATTCAGGACCTGGAGTTCATTGGGGCTCTCGATCCAGGCTTGGCCCAACCTGCTTGCCAGGCCTGCCGGTCTCCCCTTTGCTGGGCTGCTTGGGGTGACCAAGCAGTTCACTGAGAGGGATGGGGACCTGTCATGACTCTGCTCCTCTCTGCCTCTGTTGCTCTTCTTCTCCACTTCTAAGTGAAATCTGACGACCTCATCTTTTGCCACCCCCACTCCCACTTGCACGTGTGTGTACACACACGCCTGCCAAAGGTCCTCACAGTCAGCCCCATAGGAGGCCCCAGCCCTGAAAGGGTTAACCCCAGCTGCCAGTGGAAACTCAGGCACCTGCAGAGACAGAGTAGCCACTGCCTGCTGTGGGTCTTCAACAGCATGCAAGGAAACAGCTCAGAGAGGGCAACTGGGATAGACCATGGCCACACAGCAAAGCTTGGGGCTTAGTTCTAGAATGGCTGTGCAGGACTCCTGGGCTGCAACCTGGCCCATCCCCTCAACCTTCCTCAAGCTGGGACTGTGCCAGGGCTGATGCATCAGATAAAGCTCAGGCTGCACTGGGTGTGGGAGGTGGGGACGCAGGGAGCTGGCCAGGAGCACCCCCCACAAGGCCAGGCCCTGCAGGAGAAGTGAGCGGGGGTGGCACCCACTGCGTGCTCTTCCTGTGCCCCACTTGCAGGAAAAGCTCCTGCAGGGCTGAGCTGGGCAGGGGTTTGGGACTAGGCTGAGGAGGAGGAAAGGCGAGGCAGGGGGTAGGCCGGCCAGCTGGGCCCCTGTCGGGTTAGGTGGGGGCCTCTGGCTTCCCAGGTGGCACCCACAGCTCCCCCCATGTCCCTTTACCTCTAGGTTTTCCGCAGAGCAGACAAGAATGGTGAGTGTGGCTTCCCCTGGGTCCCGTGGTGGGGGGCAGGGTGGGAGGCATCCAGGAGGCCCAGGGACAGTTGGGAGGTTGGGTGGGAAATCTAGAGTCGCAACAAATCTTGGGGGCCTAAAACAGGAGAATCAATCAAGGCATCCTTCCCAGAGGAAGTGCTGTTCTCAGCCAAGTTTGGCGGGATGGAGAGTGGAGGGAATGCGGTTTGGCCAGAGGCTGGAGGTAGAGGCTGACTTTCACACAGCACCCTGGCACGGTGGTGCACATTTCCTGTACATGGCTTCGTGTTGCCCTCACAACCACCAACTAGACTGGAATTCACCCTATTTTACAAAGGAGCAGAGGCCCAGAGAGATGAAGCAGGTTGCCTAAGGTCACACAGCCTTTAACTGATAGGCTTGAACTTGGGTCTTTGCAGCGTTTAGTCCCTGGCTCCTTGTGTGAGGCACTTGGAAGAGTGAGGTAATGGAGATGAGGTCTTTTTGGAGATAGTACTCAGGTTTTTAGAGGACTCAGTAACTTGTCATGTGACCAATCGTCTGGACCAGGGAGGTCGTGGAGGACACAACTGACCCATGCCTTGGGCAGGGATAAAGCTGGTTCCAGGAGTCAGCTCCTCCTGCCTTGGGTCCTGGTCAGTCACAGACCCTGGTCTAGGAGAACCTTGGAAGCTATAGCAGGAGCCCTACGTGACCCAGCCAGCAGCAGCCTGCTCTCCCAAGTGACTTGGAGCAGCCCGCTGTGCCCTGCGTGGCCAGTGGAGGGTCTGAGCTTCGCAGTCAGCCTGGGGCTCCTTTCATCTGGGTCTTCACGCCCTCTTGTGTTTCCTCCTCCTAGAGATGGGGTCCTGTTCCCACTCCTTGCCCCTTCTCCTTGGGTTTCTTCGAATTGATGGGAATTGTTTGTCCCACCCCATTGATCAGGGCACTTGCCCTCACTTGGACCAGGTCATTCTGTCTGGGGAGTTTCAGACCGTCCCCTGGTTCAGGGGCCTCATACATCTGCCCAGAGGCCTCATACATCATTCAGACCAAATCCCATGTCTGACTGTCCCACATAAATACTCCCAGCCTCTGCTCACATGCCCCTGTGATGGGGAGCTCATTCCCTTCTAAGCCAGCCTGCTGCTGCCTGCAGAGGCTCCAACTAGTAGGAAGATTCCATCTGCCTCCCCCTGACTTCTCTGCGAAGGTCCTGGGTCCAAAGCATGGCGGTTCCTTGTGCCTTGCAGCGAGGCTGGTCCCTAAGTCCTTTCAGGTGACATCTAGGCCCTGCCACACTCTGGCCAGGTCCTAGCCTGTTGCTTGTTTTTTCATTTGGCAACCATTTACTGAGTTCCTACCCAGTGCTATGCACATACTGCCCTGTCCCTTGGGTGCCTGCAAAGTAGGTTCTGTTGCCTTCAGCGGTCACCTTTGAGGACCCCAGTCCTTTTGTCCTCAACAGTCAGGTCCCCCATGGAGCTCAGATTCCCATCCCACCTGGCTAGGTGGCGGTCAAATGCTATGAGGCCCTTGGCGCCCTGGACCTGGTGCCAGGGTGCTGTCAGGGTCAGGGATACCTCCTCTGCTCCTTGTCCTTCCCCTACCACCAGATGATGGGAAGCTCTCATTTGAGGAATTCCAGAATTACTTTGCCGATGGGGTTCTTAGCCCGGGGGAGCTGCGGGAACTGTTCAGCGGCATTGATGGGCACCTCACCGAGTGAGTACGAGAGGGGGCTGTGGGTAGATGTGAGGTCAGGTTGTCTTTACCCCCCTGTGTCCTCTGCTGCCTTGATTCCTTTTGTAGGATGAGGAAGAGGGGGCAGGGAGAAAGGTACCAGGGCTCGGTTCCAACTTTCCCCACTCGCCTACCCCTCTCCAGCTCCAGCCTTGCCCACTACAGTGCTTCCAACTGGGACCCCGAAATAGCCAAGCCTGAGTCATCACCCATGGCTCAGCTCCCCATTCCCGCTTCCCGCAGGGACCAGAGGATGCCTGGGGACAGCTGGGCCCCGCCTGCTTCCACCCGAGAATGCAGTGCATGAACACACACACCTCCCCTTGTGTGCTCCCACATCTACACGTCTTGGCAGGAGTGTGCATGCGCTTCTCCGTGCCTGCTCCCAGGGATGTGCATGCAGAATCGCTGTTCCTCCCTCCACTTCCCTTCTCCCATTTCCTGAGGGTCAGTCTTAGGCTCCTAAGACTTGGGCTGGAACCTTCATCTGCACTGCTCCCGCTCCCCTACTGGCCAGACACCCCAGACAGCTCCTTGTGCTTCAGGGCCTCACTAAGGCAGCTCCTCCTCTAGGAAGCCCTCCCTGATCTACCAACTAAATACCCCGTGCCATCTCTGGACTTCCCTGCACCTGGCTTCCCCTCTGCAGCTCTGGCCACTTCTCGCTGGCCTGTGTCCACATCTGTCTTCCCCTGGCCCGAGATCCTCTTGGAGGCCAAGAATGGGTCTGAATCTTTGCCCTTAGAGTGATTGGTGGGGGCAGTAGAACCCATTCTGTGACCCTGTCAGGACTGTCCACAGGAGCAACTTAATCTGGGGCAGAGCAGAAGTGGCCTCCTTGTTAGGCTGAGCTGGGAGTTGGTGGGGTGGGAGGTGGAGCATTGGCCCCATCAGTCCCAGTTTACCAGGCCCAAGTCTAAAGGTCTGAAGAGCGCCTTCTCTTTTCCCTGCAGCAATTTAGAAACGGAAAAACTGTGTGGTAAGTAGGCCCATGGGAGCTCTTGTCTCCCAGGGCCCCTGGGTCCCAGGGTAGGTGTGGCAAGGGGCTGTTGCTGGTCTCCTGATGGGACAGGTCGGGCTGGGCTCAGTATACAAGACCTGCTTGACTGCTGAGGATTTCTGGGGGGCCAGAATCCCAGGGAGATGGGTGGGGGTCCAGGAACCCTTGAACACCTCTTCTGCCCACAGACTACTTCTCAGAGCACCTGGGTGTCTACCGGCCCGTGCTGGCTGCATTGGAATCGCTGAACCGTGCAGTTCTCGCTGCCATGGATGCCACCAAGCTGGTGAGTGGAGTGGCTGATGGTGGGGGGCCACCGTGAGGCAGCAGGTGTCTGCTGTGCTGTGGGATCCTCCACAGTCTTGACTCAGGGTTATGGAGCTAGGGGCTTGGGTTCAAATCCTGGCTCTCCCACTTTGTGCCCCTTGACCTCTCTGGGCCTGTTTTTTCATCTATAAGCTATCATGACAATAGAGCTGCCCTCCATACATCATTGTGACGAGTGAGAATGAAGGCAGGGGCTTTTGTCTGTGTTGTTCTATTTCCAGCACCCAGAATAATGTCTGGCACACAGTAGGTGCTTCATACTAGCGGCTGCTGTTGCTTTTGTTACTGGCCAGTCACAGCTGTGATGGGTATCATGCAGGGCTGAGCTAGGCGTGGGAGGCTGTGCTCACATGTTCACAGGGCAGCGCCTGGCTGAGGACATACGTGAGTAGGCAGGTACGTGAGTAGGCAGGTACGTGAGCACCCATGTGTTTGTGTGCACATATGGACATGTATCTGCACAAGCACAAACAGTGTTGATATCCGGGGCTTGAGCCCCTTGAGTGGTGACTTCAGAAAATAAGCCACCCTTCCCTTTGTGTGTTCAAGAAATAGTGCCACCTCCCTTTGCTCCATAGCTCTTGTAGGGGGAGGGAGTAGACTGGGTGTGGTGGCTCACGCCTGTAATCCCAGCACTTTGGGAGGATGAAGCAGGCGAATCACAAGGTGAGGAGTTCGAGAACAGCCTGGCCAACATGGCAAAACCCCGTCTCTACTAAAAATACAAAAAAATTAGCCAGGCATGGTGGCGCGTGTCTGTAATCTCAGTTACTTGAGAGGCTGAGGCAGGAGAATCACTTGAACCTGGGAGCTGGAGGCTGCAGTGAGCTGAGATTGCACCACTGTACTGCAGCCTGGGTGACAGAGTGAGACTCCATCTCAAAAAATAGGGGGGGTGAGGAAGGAACAGTGAGCAGGCCCGGGATTGTGCCTGACCCCACTTTTTACAGAAGGGGAAACCGATGCACTCATAGTTAACAATCACCTGAGCACACAGCCAGGCACAGGGCTCCTCCTGGTGACTTTCACATGAGAGTTAGTAGCTTTTCAAAGGCTTGCCCCTTGGGGCCTGGCATGGGATATGTGTCCAAACGGTACATGACGACAGGTTGGAGGAACTCCCATATCTGTGTCATGGAGACAGGTGGGGGCATCACTTTTATTGCCATGAAGTGGGGCTTGGGGGTGGGCAGCTAGACTGGCATTCTCTGAACTGGCAGTGGTTGGGGAAGATTCAAACTGCAATTCAAAATGAGGGTCCCATGGGTCCCAAACACCTCCTAGCCTGGAAAGGGTATGGGGGTGACCCGTCCAGTCAGCGCCAACCTTCAGGAGGACACTGCCAGCTCCAAACACTTGAGACTCTTTAGATAGAGAGCTGTCCTCCACCGCGGTACCCCCCTACCCCCAGTCCAGCCTGACTCAGTTGAATACATCGTACAGCAGCCTGGAGCCACACTCCTGGTACATGGCCCGGGTTATCCAGCGGCGCTGGAAGGAGTGCAGCGAGGCCACCATGGAGCCGCCAGTCCACACAGCCATGCCACGCCCATGCTTGGCCACCAGGTGGGGCCGCAGGGCCGCGTAGCCGTGTCGCCGGCACTGCGCCTCCAGCTCCTTGTCCAGGCGTTCGGCGAAGCCAGGAAATAGCGTGGAGCCGCCGGCCAGCACCACGGTGTCTGCCAGCCGTGTCCGCAGCATTTTGGGCATTTTCTGCAGCGCCCGGAAGGCCAGCGCAGGCAGCCCCGGCTCATCTTGGCCCAGCAGGCCCGGCTGGAAGATGGGTTCGGGACAGCGGAAGCGCTCGCTGCTGAGGCAGATGCAGCACCCGTTACCCATGCTGAAACTGGCCGGATGGTGGCGGGCGGGGTTGCGGAGGTCGCCCTCGAAATCCAGGGACACATAGCAGCTGCGCTTCTTGAGATGTGTGATGGCCTTGCGGGGCAGGGCCTGCTGCGAGAGATCAGGGTCCGCCGCCACCAGCAGGTCCCGTAGATAGCGTGACAGGGTGCTGCCCGCCACGTTCAGCCGGAAAGTGGCCTGGTGCCATGAGTGACCTGCGTAGATGGGCGTGGCATGGCACACGCCCGCGCCCGCCTCCACGGCCAGCCCACTGAACACGCCAGTGGAGCAGAGCGCCAGCAACGCGGTGCTGGCCATGTGGCATGCGGGCACTGCCAGGGTCTCGAACAGCAGCTCCGCTACCCTTTCGCGGCCCGCGGGCGGTGCCGACGGCGAGTCGCTCACCAGCACGGGCCACTGCTCCGGGCACACCCGCAGGCCGCCCACCAGCAGGCGCTCCCACAGCCCTTCCAGCGCCTCCCAGTCCACCACCACACCGTGCTTGATGGGGTGCGCCCGCGCCACGCCGCCCGCCAGCTCGCAGCCCGGCACGCCGGGCAGCACCGGCCGATCCCAGCTGGGCACCAGGCTGGAGCTCTTCAGCACTATGCGCGGCTGGTTCTCGCCCGCAAAGCCCGCCTTGGTGAAGCCTGAGCCCTGGTCCACCACCACCGCGACACGGCCCATTGGGGACAGCCGGTGCACACGAAGGCTCCCAGACACAGACGACACCTTCGGGCTCAGCCCCACCTTTCCATGCCACCGGACTCTGTCCTAGAGAGTGGTCCCCTTCAGCCCCTGGCTCCGCCTCCGGGGCCTAAGTTCCTCCTCTTCTGGGTCAGATCACTACTCCTCTCAGCTTTTCGCTCCGCCCTCTGGTTGGAAAGCCCCCGCCTCTTCTGTCCTTGCCGTTTGCCTCCTTTAAAGCTCGTGGCACTTGCCTACGCCTGAGACCCCGCCCCTAGTTCAGGCCTCAGTCTCGGCTCTGGCTGGGTTCCAGCTGCATGTCTCCATCTCCTCTTCCTCTGGTGCCGGGCTCCAGGCTCCACACCTAGCACTGGGCCCCACACTCTTAGGACTCGCCTCTGCTTTGCTGTTCAGCCCAGTCAGCCCTTGCTGAGATGGCTGACAAGATGGCTAGGACTGATCTTTTAGAGTCTAAGAAGCCTCCAGGAGGAGCAGAGCTTTGAGGGTAAAGAGTTCCTGTGGCAAGGCCATTTGGACATATATCCCGGTTGGGGACCCAGGCAGCCTCCTGGCACCTCTCACCTGGGCTTGACGGAAGTTCCTGGTTGTGGAGTGGGTGGGGCAGGTCAGAAGGCCAAAAGGAACTTGGATTGGGCTCATTGTGAGCTCACTCCTCAGCAGCCGTTGCACTTATGCAGCCCCCTACCCTAATGACAACTCCCTGGACCCATCTTCTCTCCTGGGGAGGGCCAAGGGCAGTGATTTTGGCATCCAGGGGCCTGGCTTCAGCAGCCCAGCACAATTAGTCTGATTTCCTTTCCCACATCACTTAGAATTATCTGATGTACTCTGGCCAGATGTGTGGCCCCTACCCTTCCAGCACCAAAGAAAAAGCTTTTAGTCACAGATCTACAGCTCTGAAAAGCCAGGAGAGACTCTGGCCCTACCATCAGGGGTTTCCGCAGATGGAGTCACGTGGACCTGAGTTTGAGACTCAGTTCTTTTTTTTCTTTTGAGACGGAGTCTGCCCAGGCTGGGAATGCAGTGGTGCAAACTCGGCTCAGTGCAATCCCTGCCTCCTGGGTTCAAGTGATTCTCCTGCCTCAGCCTCCTGAGTAGCTGGGATTACAAGCGCAAGCCACCTAGATGGGGCTTCACCATGTTGGCCAGGCTGATCTCGAATCAGGATCTCAGGTGACCCACCTGCCTCAGCCTCCCAAAGTGCTGGGATTACAGGTGTGAGCCACCATACCCAGTGAGACTCAGTTCTGAGGCTGACTTACTATGCAGTCCTAAGCAAGTCTTGATCTTTCTCTGGGCTTGGTTTTCTCCTCCAAAGGGTAGTAATAATCCCCACACACAGGAAAGAGGCCACTTCTTGTTTCTGCAAAGCGTCATTATTCTCTTCAGGACCAATTTGGTTGCAAGTAGAAGACTCAGGTGAATGTAAGCCAAAAATAGGGACTTTATTACAAGGATCTTATATGTTTTGGATACCAAGGGCAACAGTGAAGTCAGGTTTCAGAAATAGGGTCTGACCTCAGGGCTGTTAGAAACTCAGGATGTTGTGCACTGTCTTTGTATTGTGTTTCTATTCTGAAGATTGGCTTTATCCTGTGCATGTTCAAGTAGAGAACATGGTCTCTTACGGCTCCTGAATGACAGTCCTAGGGGGAGGGGCTGACAGGGCCAGCTTGGGCCAATTACTGTATGGGTAGGATGTGCCGCTCCATGGAAGAATGTGGTTACCCTGATTGTAACCATGTGGGTGGTAGGGAAGAGTCAGTTCTCACAATTAGCAGGAGCGATGCCATAGTCTTCAGCCTGGTGCAGGCAAGGTGGAGGAGATGTTCATCAAAGTGACGGTGACAGCAGAGGCTGAGCTGGTGGCTCTAGTGAGCTGGGACCTCCAGTCCTGCTGCATCTGCCCCCACAAGAAGGCATCCTGAGGTTGGTTGCCAGTGTGTGGCAGGAAGGCAGGCTGCAAGTTCGGCAGGCTGGGGATGGCACTGAGGTGTGGAGCTGGATTTGGGACCCAGAGAAGTGAGAAGTAGCAGGATCCAGGCCGCAGAAAGTGGCAGGGCCTCTTTTAAGTGATTTGGGGAGTGAGGCTGAGGCTGGGGGCTTTTTCCCTGTAGGTAAGAGACCTGTTGAAAGCTGATGAGCAGGGGAGTGGGCTGCCCTAGACAGATGAATGGTTTGGAAGAAGGCTTTGTCTTGTGGGAAAGGAGATGGGACAGGGTAGGTTGGGAGACAGAGGTGCCTTAGGGACGATTGGGGGGCTGAGTGTTTTGGGGTTACCAAACACAATGTGTGGGCATGAGGGGCCAGAGGCCCAGGGTTTCTAGCCTGTCCTGGGTGCGTCCACAGCAGAATCCACGTCTCAGGCCTTGCCCCAGCTGACTGTGGTGTCCTGGCTATCCTTCTAGGATGGTGCCTGTTGGTCTGGGACCCTCCCTCTGCCTAAGAGGGATTTCTGGATGCTGGGGGAGATGCAGGCTTTGCTGGAAACAGATAGCGTGGCCACGCCTGGGTTTGTCCAAGCCCACCTCGAGTCTGCACACTGGGCGGGATGTGACTGGGTTTGGAGTGTTGGGGGAAGGGAACTGCCTCTCACCGCTGTAGCAAGGTGTGGGGTTGTGTTCTGACTCTTGGCACAAGGGAGGAGAAAGCAAAAGACAGCCTTGGCTCCAGACCGTGGCGGTGGCTCTGCCCTCAATACGCCTCGCCTCGTTCACCCCGGTGCGGCTTCCAGCCTCCGCTTTGCCCAACCCGACTCTGCGCCCGGACGCCTCCAACAGGGTTCACAGGCGCCAGGGTTGCCACAAGCTCTTTATTGGAGGGTCAGGGGCTTAGAGCCGTGAGCGACGGCAGCGGTGCCGTTTGTGCGGCTCCTCTTGGGCGGGGCCGGCCTTGCCGGGCGCTTTGCCCGGGGACCGCAGGCACGGGTGCAGCCGCGGCCAGCTCAGCGCGGCCCCGCCCCGGGCCCCGGCCCCGCCCGCGCCCAACGCACCGGCCACGCCCTCTTCCGGCCGCCGCGCCTCCCGCCGTAACAGCAGCAGCACCGGCATCTTCAGCTCGCCCTCGCCGCCTTCTCCCGCTCCGCGCAGCCTGGGCGCCGCCGGGGAGCCTAGCCCACTGCCTGATTCGTCGTCACCCGGTCGCCCAGCCTCGGCCAGCGGCTGCCGCTTGTCTAAGGGGAGAAGCAGCACGATCCTGGTCTGGGGGTGGAGCAGTGGTGTGAGGAGGGAGAGCGCGCCGGGGCTGAACCCACGACCCGGGGCCGCCCCGCCCTTCTCCTGGGACCCTCATCCACCCGGGTGCTGTTATCCGCCCATGCACAGGGCTGGAGGGGACCCCTGTCCAATTCAGGCCCCGGGGATGCCTGCCTTTCCCTGCTAGGCGCCCCGGACTCTGCCTCCCTCTGGAAACCATCATCCATCCCAGGCTGACTTCCTGAGACCAGGTTTATGAGATTCCTTCTAAGCTCTATGTCAGGGGCTCTCAGCACCCCCTACCCCCGCCTGGTCCAGAGTCTCTGCTGATTTGAGAGGGAGGCAGGGAACTTTTGAGTCTAGGAGCTGGCGAGAGGACGCAAGGGGATTCCCCCTGCCCCTAGCTTCAGTAGTACCAACTAGGACTGATTGTCCTTGTTGGGACCTCCGCCTGTTTGTCCAGGGTTGGGAGAGAATCCCACTCACACTCACCCCCCTGGGCCCTCAAGTCTCATCCACCTTCTAGTTCTGGCATCTCTGCCCTCCTTTTTTTTTTTTTTTTAATAAGACTGAGTCAAACAGGGTCTTGCTGTGTTCTCCAGGCTGGAGTGCAGTGGTGGTGTCATGGCTCACTGCATCCCCGACCTCCTGAGCTCAAGCAGTCTACCTCAATCTTCTGAGTGGCTGGGACGGTGAGCATTTGCTACCACACCCAGCTAATTTTTAAATTTTTGTAGAGATGGGGCCTCCCTATGTCACCTAGGCTAGTCTCAAACTCTTGGGCTCAAGTGATCCATCCACCTTGCCCTCCCAAAGTGTCGGGATTACAGGCGTGAGCCACCTTGAAAGGACCCCTGTCTACACCTATGTGGGCTCCTGGGATCCTCATCCTTGGGAGAGATTTTCCATTTCCTCCTTCACCCCCTAGGACTTCACACAAGGCCTAGGCTCTCAGCATCCCTTCCCACCCACCTGTCCAGCTTCCCCTGACTCCCATGGGTCTCCCTAGCCCTGCTTCCCATCCCCCACACTCACAGCTGGCTTCTTCCGAGTCAGGTGGCTGAGGCACTGTCTCCACCAGGCCTTGTCCATGTCACTTGGCCTCTCCTTGCGGGCCTGCTTGGGTGCTTTGGTCCTTTTGTGCGATCCATTGTTTCCCATGGTGGGGCTCGTCACCACTGGGGACCGTGGCCCACACTCTGTCTGCTCTGCCCCCTGAGTCTTGGCCACATTGTGACCTCATGAGCCGACCTCACCAATTGCAGGCTCTGAGCACAGCTTCCCAGGGCCCACAGGTAGATCTGGGCTGTATTCACTCTGTTACTTCTAGCCTTGGTTTCTCAGCTTTAAAATGGCTAATGATCGTAAATGAGGCAATGCATGTAAAGTGCTGAGTGGCCAGTAGAGGGGGATTTCTGTGGTTTAGATATGATTTTTGGCCCTGCCACTAACTTGCTGTGTGACCTTAGCCCAGGTAATCAACCTATCTGGGCCTTAGTTTTCTCATCTGCAAAATGGGGTCAATTATGGTTCCTGTAAATTGTTACAAAGGTTAAATTAGGCCCAGCGTAGTGGCTCATGCCTGTAGTCCCAGCACATTGGGAGGCCAAAGCAGGTGGATCACCTGAGGTCAAGAGTTCAAGACCAGGCTGAACAACACAGTGAAATCCTGTCTTTACTGAAAATATAAACATTAGCCAGGTGTGGTGCAGCTGCTTGAGAGGTTGGGGCAGGAGAATTGCTTGAACCTGGGAGGCAGAGGTTGTAGTGAGCCAAGATCACGCCACTGTACTCTAGCCTGGGTGACAGAGTGAGACTCTGTCTCGAAAAAAACAAAAGACTAGGCAGGGCATGGTGGCTCATGCCTATAATCTCAGCACTTTGGGAGGCCAAGCCAGACTGATCACCTGAGGTCAGGAGTTTGAGACCAGCTTGACCAACATGGAGAAACCCCATCTCTACTGAAAATACAAAATTAGCCAGGTGTGGTGGTGCATGCCTGTAGTCCCAGCTACTTGGGAGGTTGAGGCAGGAGAATCACTTGCACCCAGGAGGAGGAGGTTGTGGCGAGCTGAGATGGCGCCATTGCACTCCAGCCTGGGCAACAAGAGTGCAACTCCTTCTCAAAAAAACAGAAAAATGGCCGGGCACGGTGGCTCACGCCTGTAATCCCAACATTTTGGGAGGCCAAGGCGGGCGGATCACAAGTTCAAGAGATCAAGACCATCCTGGCCAACATGGTGAAACCCCGTCTCTACTAAAAATACAAAAAAATTAGCTGGGCGTGGTGGCGTGCGCCTGTGGTCCCAGCTACTCGGGAGGCTGAGGCAGAAGAATTGCTTGAACCCGGGAGGCGGAGGTTGCAGTGAGCCAAGTCGCGCCACTGCACTGCAGCCTGGCGCCTGGTGACGGAGTGAGACTCTGTCTCAAAAAAAAAACAAACAAAAAAAACCCAGAAAAACAAAAAAGACTAAATGAAATTCTTAGAATAGTGTCTGGCTCTGAGTGGGTGCTTCTGTCAGTTCTCTGGTTGCAAGCAACAGAAACTAATCTCAAATACTTGAAAGGGATCTTTTTTTTGGAAAGATTTCATGGAGATAGAAATCTTGGCCTGAGAATGAAAAGACCCAGCCTCTTCTCTGTCCCTGTCTCCCAGCTCATAAGCACGGCCCGAGAGGTCCCATCTGACAGCTGAGCTGACGCAGATCATGGCAGATGAAGTCTCTGATGGATAGGCCTCTGGAGTCCCCTTGGAGAGGGCAAGCACCTGGACCACAGCTCCCTAGGACTCCCACCCTGGCCTCGTGTGTGTGTGTGTGTGTGTGTGTGTGTGTGTGCGCGCGTGCGCACACGCACATGGTGGGGTTAGGCAATTCTCAGGTGTTTGTGACTCCTGGGTGTACAAGTGGGCAGGCTCCTTAGTGTATTACACTTGACCATAGACGGCTGGCAGGTCTGGCATCGAGAGCTTGCGGGCCAGACCCTGGGCTGAGTTCTGTGCAGGAATTCACTCCCGGGAGCTTCTTGCAGCTCCATGTGCTGAGTTTCATCCTTCCTGTTTGAGAGATGAGGAATTGGAAGCTCCAGCAAGTGCAGGTAGTGGAGGAGCCATGGAATCCCATGATGGGCCATGCAGGGCCTAGCATGTGGGCAGCCTCTCTGCCTCTGTGCCACTCTGGGAAGGGCTGGGAGGAGGCTGACGGTGTTGGTTGGGGTCAGTGCTGGGGTGTGTGTGTGTGTGTGTGTGTGTGTGTGTGTAAGTGAGGATGGCAACCTGATTGTCTTTTATCGGCAGCTCCTAGTAAAGAGCGCTCAGTGTTTGTTGTGTGCATGAGTGAATGAATGAATGAGTGAATACATAGATTATGAGTCTGTGGCCGCATCAGGCCATCATTTTGCCTCATGTGTCAAAATTGGCCTTTGGATACCCTGTAACAGCTCCATGACAGTGCTAAAGGTGGTAGCCCTGACAGAGAAGGGGCCATGAGGTCCAGAAAAGCCAGGCACGCCGGCAGGCAGATGCCTCCTGTGAGTTGGCCTCACACCCCTCTGGAGGAGGCCAGGCCCGGACAAGGAGGGATCCAGGCCTCCCTACCCATCTGATCTCAGTGCCCTCCTCCTGCCTATGCCAGGTTTGCATGCCCCTGGTCTGATGAGCAAGAGGCAGAGGACCCACTCAGAAATCAATGCCCAGGCTAGGAGATGCTGACCGTGCCCCCTTGGCCCGCAGGAGTATGAGCAGGCCTCCAAGGTGGACCAATTTGTGACGCGATTCCTGCTTCGGGAGACAGTGAGCCAGCTGCAAGCCCTGCAGAGCTCGCTGGAGGGGGCATCAGATACCCTGGAGGCCCAGGCCCGTGGCTGGCGGTATGTAAGGGCCCTGCCGACCCATGGGGCCAGTGCACAAGCGCCCACTGTGACCCCCATTCCAAATCCCCACAGTCCTAGCATCCTGGTGGGGAAGCCATAACAGGGTGAGATGAGACTGGTTTTGGGGCTCGGCCTTGGAATCCCAGGAGGCCTGTCTACCCCACCCAGGCCTGTCCTGTCCTGGGGCCCTAGTCTTCAGCCCTGTGAGCCTTACTTCCTATAGGTCAGATGCAGAGAGTGTGGAGGCACAGAGCTGGCCCCACAGCAGCCGGCGGGCGGGGCGCCGGGCCCTGAAGAGCGTCAGCCGGTCATCCACCTGGTCCCCTGGCTCTTCTGACACAGGTGTACCTGGGGTGGGGTGGGAGGCCTGGGTGAGGCAGGCACCACATCCCTGATTCCACCAGGGTCTGCTCCTCTGCTGCCCCTCACTTCATCCCAAGAACGTCCTGGGCCCCTGCCTGACCCTGCATGGGTCCCACCCACAGGGCTCAGCTCAGAGGCCGAGATGCAGTGGCGGCTCCAGGTGAACCGCCTCCAGGAGCTCATTGACCAGCTCGAATGCAAGGTGAGAGCTGCGGGCCCAGGGCCCCACGAGGGAGGACCCTCCTGGTATCTGCCTGAGCCAGGGCCACTCTGGAGGCCCGGCCCACACTCTGTGCCCTCACAGGCCCCCCGCCTGGAACCACTGCATGAAGAGGACCTGGCCAAGGGGCCTGACTCGGTGAGCCCAGGAGAGGGGCCAGCAGCTGAATGGCAGGGTCTGGGGGTGCTCATGAAGTGGGGGTTCATGGAGCCATCTGCCCGCCCACCCTCTACGGTGCTCACATGCCCCTCTCCCAGACCTGCCAGGCAGGTGCCGGGTTCTGAGACCCTGCAGGAACTGCTGCCCCTCTCTGGGCTTTGGTTCCCCATCAGCATTTCTGAAAGCCAGGTCTGTGGCCGTGAAGCTGGAGGGCAGAAGGAAGTGGTAGCATACTGCAGGAGGGAGGGACAGTGGCTGGGTCAAGCAGCACCCTTGAAGACAGAGGAGGATGGAGTCAGCGAGGCTGGGGGGCAGGTTGGTGACTCATGCCTGTAATTCCAGCACCTTGGGAGGCCAAGGTGGCAGGATTGCCTGAGCCTGGGAGGTAGAGGCTGCAGTGAGCCATGATCCCACACACCACTGCACTCCAGCCTGGGTGACAGCTGCAGGGGACCTCCTGGAGGCCACAGTCAGTCCCTTCCCTGCACCCAGTCCCGCCCCGGCCCTGGCTGACTGGCTGCCTCTCCCACCAGCACATCCTTGTGGTCCAGAGGCAGGTCCAGGTGGCAGAGGAAGCCCTGCAGGACTTCCACCGAGCCCTGTGCTGCTATGTGGACTTCACAGCGGCCCAGAGCCATTGTCTGCAGTGAGTGCCCAGCTGGAGGTGGGGAGGGGGTGAGGAGAGGGGTGCTTGGGCTGGCCATCCAGGGCCAGGGCTCCCATGAGACCCCTGGCAGAGGTGGGCAGAGGTGGTGGCAGCCCTGCCCTGGCTATCTCTTTGGCCCCGCAGTGTGTCTGCCCAGAGGATGCCGGACGGTGCCTCCTTCACCCTGTATGAGTTCTGGCAGGACGAGGCCTCCTGGAGAAGGTATGAGTGCCAGTCTGGCCAGTAACACTGTGGAGTGTGGCCCTGAAGTGAGTCAGGCCAGGGTTCCAATCCTGCTCACCGGCTCTGTGACCTCAGATGAGTGACCCTACCTGCCTGAGCCCCCAAGTCCTTACCAAAATGGAGGTGGTAACAGTTCCACCTCCTGTGGGCTAAAGGAGGTGACTGGGAAGACCTGAATACAGTACAGGCACTCAGTGAGTACACAGTTGTCACTGTGGGCCACATCCTATGCCAAGCACCTTGTGCAGTGTCCATTCCACCTGCACAGCATCCCCGTGTCACAGAGGAGAGGACTGAGGCTACAGAGGCAGCGTGAGGAGGGCCGGGGTCTGATCCTGGCAGCAGGGCAGGGGCGGGAGTGGGGAGACCGAGGTCGAGGCAGCCTGGGTTCCTCCACAGGCACCAGCAGTCGCCCTGCAGCAAGGCCTTCCAGCGCGTCCTCATCGACCACCTGCGGGCCCCAGACACCCTCACCACTGTGTTCTTCCCAGGTGCGTGGTGGCTCCCCACTCCCTGTGGCCAGGAGGGGCAGTGGGCTCCTGAGGCCTCCTGACCCCCGCCTCTGTCCCCCAGCCTCCTGGTGGATAATGAATAATAACTGAGCCAGACCCGCTCACGCTGAGGACCCCAGGGCGCTGCCTGCCTCCCTCTGGAGTCTTCTGGACCGGCCAGCCCAGCACAAAGACCAGGCCTGCCTCCTCCTGGACCTGAGCCTGGTGGAGGGGCTCAGCCCAGGGATCAGGGACTGGGCTGCTTGCTTTTTATTTATTGATTTATTTATCCATATATTTTATTGTTTGTCACTTCAGCCTCCAAACTGCGTGGGCTTCCACCTGGCTCAGGAGGCCTGGATTCTGGTCCCTGCTGTCCCTGCCTGGCCGAGCGACCCAGGGCAGGTCCCATCCCTCTCTGGGTGGGCCTTGGGCCCTCTGGCTGCCTAGTGAGGATCCTGCTTTCCTTCTGCTGTCTTGGGGCCAGGCTTCTGCTCCTCCCCAGGCAGCAGCAGAAGCAAGGCTGATGCTCAGGGACCCCCCAACCCCTCAAACCTTGCCTCCTGAGGCTGGGCCAGACCTGGTGCCCCGTCACCCTCCCAGGCCACCAGGCTCTTGACTCTTCCATCACCCATGGATGTGCCAGAGGCCTCTGGGTTGATTTGCATGCTATTTGCATATCATTTGCATGCCCTCACCCACCCATTCTCAGGGCACTATGGGAAGCCCAAAGGTGACCTTGCCAAGTAGCAATAATTTGGGCCCAGGGTCACCTGTTGCCCCCAGAGGCCTCTGAACCCCAGGCTGGGAGCCCCACACAGAGGCAATAAAGGCATTAGTCCCCTCCAGCGTCGCCTCCTGTCTCTCACAGGGCTGGGCCGTGGGACTGTGCGCCTCCCAGGCCAGAAGCTCCAGGCGGGACACCTCTCTCTGGAAGTCCCCGGTTCCCACCTCCTGCCCTCACGCTTGCAGAGTGGATGCTCACAGGAGCTGATGCAGGTTTCTCACTTCAGTGTCCCCAACCCTGACACACCTGGTGGTGGGTCCTGCCTGAGTGACATGGGCCCTGCGGGGTTTGCAGGGGCTCTAGCTTCACCCGGAGCTGCCTCCGGGCCCAGATTGCTTGGCCACACTCCTGTGGGAACACCTGTCCTTCCACCAAGCTGGACCTGTCATTGCCACTTACATAGAGTGGTTCTGGGTGGACAGTGGCTGATCAGTCATACCAGCCCCTGGGGATATCCTCCTGCCCCTCTCCATTACTGAGGGCATGGAAGGGAGGTGACTGACAGGGACATCTAACCAGCTGCTCTAAAGAGAAGGCTTGGCACCACAGGAGCATAGGATGGCATTTGACCTGGCCTGGGAGCATTGGTGTCAGTTTTCCAGACAGAAGAGATGGCACGTGGGCCCCGAGGAGGAGAGCTCTCCTGGTGGATTTTTTTTGTATTTTTACACTGGGCTAATTTTTTTGTATTTTTAGTAGAGACGGGCTTTCACCATTGGTCAGGCTGGTCTTGAACTCCTGCCCTCAAGTGATCTCCCCACCTTGGCTTCCCAAATTACCAGGATTACAGGCATGAGCCACTGCACCCAGCCCACTGCCTTCTTTAAACAGATGCCCAAGCCCTCAGGCTGACTCCTTTGCAGTGGGTGCCTCCTTAATTTTTGTGCCCTGGGCATCCTGCCTGCTTCCTGTAGTGAAGTTCTGAAGGTTGACACCTCTTTATTAGGATTTTTAGTAAGAAAGGCTTTTTTCTCCCTCCCTCCTGAAGGCTGGAGCTGCAGGGGAGGGCACTGTGGGTGGGGACGCCCAGCAGGGTCAGGGGCCTCTTAGGACAGTGGTTTGGGCTGTGAAAGGTGAGCAGAGGGCCCCGGGCAAGTGCGAGGGCAGAAAGGAACCTTGGAGTGTGAGAGCTGAGGAGGCCAGGTGCGTGGGAGTGGAATGTCGTCTTGCAGGTGACAGGGAGACAGGAGGGTGCCAGACAGTGGTGATGGACATGGGTTGGGGTGGAGCTGAGCATGTACAGGGCTGGAGCTGCAGCCACAGAACAGATGGCTGGGCTGGGGCTGTGGGGACCGGAGGAAACCCTCAAGCCTCTACGTGGTCTGTCGAGCTCACAAACCCACCTCATCTGCAGCCTGTCATCCCCACTGCTGCGCCTTGCCATACCGCAGGTCAGGGCCACTGTCCTCTCAGGCCTGGAAGACTGCAGCAACTTCTTCACCTGGCTCCCATCCCCTGTCCACTCCCTGTAGACACAGCCAGAGGGGGCTTTCAGAACTTTGCCATTTTGAAAAATGCACCTCTCTGGCCAAGACCCTTCAATGGCCAGAGAGGTACATTCAGCATCAAGGTCATAATTTCATGTCCTGGCATTTGAGGCCCTTAGCAATAGAACTCTACTCCCAATTTGTGCAGCCTCCTCTTCCCAAATTACACTCTGGCTGCACTGGGCCATTTGCAATCCAGTCACCATGTCTGTGGCCTTTGTCACAAGCCACTCCTGTCCACTGCAGAAATGCTTGTGCTGTGAGGAGCAGGTGTGTGCCATTGCACTGGGGCGCCTTTCCCAATCCTGCTCTTGGTGGCTCTTCAGCTCCTTTCGACAGCCACTGGGCACCTGCTTTATAGCAGGTGCTGGGATGATCAAATGTCCAGGGCTGGTGATAGCACCCAGTCAAAGGCAGGCAGATCCCTGAAGCCAGGAGAGTTCTGGGCTCCTGGGCCAGCTGCCACCCCCCCATCCTTCCACCCACTCTGCACCTGCCTTCTCCCCTCCCTCACACCTGCACCTGTGACTCACCTGTACATATTCAAACCTGTCCCAGGGACTGGCCCAGTGCCAGGCCAGGCTGGAGACAGCAATAGTCTAGATGGTGGCCAGTGCCCTGTGGCTCTCCTAACAAGTCCCCTTAACACAGCCTCTGATGGGCTGAAAGGAAGGGACTGAGAATTAGGTGGTCTTCAAAAAGGCTTTGTTGAAACATAAGACTTGAGCAGGACACCAGGTTCCACAGAGTGCTGGGCACAACGTGGTTTCAAGGAAACCACATTGCACATTGGTGGGGAGAGAAACAGGTTATGGCAGCAACCAGTTTACAGGCGCACCATGGGTGTTTACAGGCCTTGTGCTAGGGGCTACGCCCATGTTGATTGCATTTTACCCTCGCAACACCCCAGAGGTATAGGCATCGTTCGCATCCCCAGCTTACAGAAGAACAAGCTCAGTGAGTAGGTGCCTTGCTCTGGGTCACGCAGGAGGGATCCACTCCCTGGCACCAACCGCTGCTAGCTGTTGCTGGGAGTGAACGGTGCTGGGAGAGGGCAACTTCTGGGAGCAGAAACCAGCCCCGGCTGGAGGAGGCAGAGGCAGCTACACCATTAAGAAGGAACGATAGATGCAGGCCTCGGGGCCTGCAAAATGGCAGACAGGGCAGCAAGGATGAGCCCGGTGTGAGGGGCCGGGTGAGCCAGCCCTCGGAAGGCGGGGAGGCTGAGCCCCGATTCTGGAACTCCCTAGGAGGAACCCAGAGAATGTTAACTCATGAGTGGAGAGGCAGCCTGAGAAAAGGCTGATGCGAAGGGAAAGGAAAAGTGGCTGGTGTGTAGTCTGGAAAGGAATCTGGCTCAGGGATGGAGGCAACACCGGGGAAAGTCCAGCTCTGTCCACAAGAGGGCTCCTGGCAGCAGGCAGCAAAGCCCACCTGAGGAGCAGAGTGGGGCTGGTTGCTGGTTCCCCCAAGCCTCTTAGGAGGAAGGCTAAGAAGGGGACATGACATGCCTAATCGTGACTCTGACCCTGGAATACCAGCAGTCAGAAAGAAGTGGAGATGGGCAAGAGGTACGTTTGCTTCCCAAGATCCTATCCCTGCCTCGGGACAGTCCCCTTTCTGTTGAGAAACGCATCAGCAGGCTCCTGGAGGCCGCCCTTGGTAACATGAAAAAGTTTTTCCCAATTAACCTTCCAGAGGGATGGCCCTTTCACAGGTCCCAATTCTTTGTCTCTTTCTGACAAAGGTAACTCGACAGTAATTTTTTTCTTCAGATTGATGTAATCTATTGCTGAGTAACACACTACTTCAATGATTGTCATTTCCAGAATTCTATTTTTTTTTTTTTTTTTGGAGACGGAGCTTCGCTCTTGTTACCCAGGCTGGAGTGCAATGGCGC